CCCCCCCCTTCCCCCCTCCCCTCTCAACCAAATTCCTTGGCATGCTCCATCACCAATAGCTCTCAACCGGCAGAACATTTAAAATAGATCGAAAGGTGAAGTTTTTCGGGTGCTGTCAATTCCCTTGGGATGCGCTCACGAGTTCAACTTCCACCCAGAAATATAATGGGGATTGAATGCGTATTCAGCTATGCATTGTTGACGGAGGCCTGCTTAAGCATAAGCCATAGCTAATATGCTCCCAGATATTTGATAATAACTAACTGATTGTGGAGGAATCGAAGGTTTGGTTGGCCTGAGCAGTTACCAGTAAGGGATTTGATCCAGGACTGTATGTTTAGCAACTTCGGCACTTAGTACAAGCTTTCTTTTAGCATACCACAGTATTCAGAGTGAAAGTAAAATTAATACAAATAACCAATACTGACTAGTAATACTAGTAGAAAGTTGCTCCTGGACTTAAAAAGGAATTGACTGGGCCGCAGGGCCCTCAAAGTAATCGTCTAGGAGGATTGAGCGACCGTTTGCCTGATGGAATACTAGAAATATATTGGTCGGAGCCTTAAAAGCTTGAGGGTTTCTGTTTGTATGCTGCTATATTGTTTCTTCAAAGAAGACGTCGGAATGCATGAAAAAGCAAACAGCTGGAGACGGAACATCTGGGAAAAGTTGTAGGCGCAGGCAGGCGCAGGCGTCGGAGACATCCGACGTATTGTGGGAAATGATGGGGGAGTCGGCTATATATCCGCCTGCACCACGTGCTGCTAACAACTGACGTACTGCACGACTATAATCTGGCCAAAGAAATGTAACCAAATAACCAAATGACGCGATTAAAAGCCTACGTGGACCAAATGACGCGCACGTTTAGCTTAAACGCAAAAATCCTTGGAGTATCAATCAGCTTTTTTTGGGGAATCATTGCCCACCATACACAACTGTCACGAGGGTTCTTTCTGACATCATTTTACAGCGATAAAGAAGACTGAGGAAGAAATCCCCTGCATTTGCAGCTGAAACCTAACACAAAGCATATTTGGAGGTCCCAATGGAAGGAAGTGTCAAAGGCATAGTTCACCTTAAAAATGGTTTACGAAACTTTCTCTGGGATTAACCTGTGACTCCAAGGATAGTCTAAGGGACGCTGTCGAGCCGGCTTAGCCGACGCACACACCCAATGCGGACGAGTTGTTAACCGTTGCAAAAGTTGTAGAGGTTGCGCGATTCGCACCGGGACCCATACCCTACACGCAGGCAGCTTACTACAGCCAATGTATGCAAAGGCGCGCGCATCTGAACAGCTCGTCCGAATACCCCTTTCATGCAAGTTTTGCCCCCACATTCTCGTCGAACCCCTAATTTTACTGCTTTTTTGAAGTCTCATATTGCTTTAGATACGCCGATTTTCGCGTTTTCTTCGAAACTTTTGCACTACCTGAACTATCACTTCCATTACTCTTCTGAAACTGAATGACCTAAAGTTATCGTGAACTGTGCCTTTACATTACCAAAAAAAATATCTAATCTCTGGCTACCGTAACCAATGCATAACAAGTAAATCAGACAGATACATATCTTTATTCATTATTACATTGCAACCATCCCCTGTTCCAAAAGTATTGCATACTTCAAAGTAGTATAATATATACAATTGCAGGTGTAATTTAATCGACCATGATGAAGCTATGATCACCATATTTCTAATAGCAAAACCTGATCACATATGGCAATGTTAGTAGTAAGTGAACAGGTATGAGTTAGTACTGTAATTTAGTATTCAGGGCATGAAGTCGTACAGCTGAAAAAACTATCACTGCCGATACCAATATGATAATAACGTTGAAGAGACAGACTGTTGATAGACCGATGTTGCTCATACAGAGAACAGCCTGAAACAGAAACTTTTCAGGTTCGTTTAGATCGTCTTTGCATCCGTTCCTTATCGAACACGTGCACATATGGCTGGCTGGTATGACTCCACATTCGCAACCCACGTAAGCTATCTAATCAGAATAAATTTCAGCATTACGGGCAGATAACGTCAACCCCGCATCAGACCACTGAGTCTTACGATTTCCAAAACAGATGATCGAAAGAAAATTTATTATCACGCTTTTAGCTGACTATAACCATATTATTGCAAGCCTAGCATAACCTTCAAACGTTCTTTCCCCTGGGCCACGAATATCAACGAGTGAGGGGCGAGGTTTATGCGGTGAGCGGGGTCTATTCCCAAACTGAGCCCATAGGAACAGTAGGACCAGTTTTTGTGGCATTTTCTCGAACCAGAGGGAATATTCAGATCTACAACTGAAAAGGGACCTAGTCTCCAACCGATCTTAGCTATTTTGAAAAAAAAAACATAAAAAACTATTCTTAATTTTCAAGTTTTCAAATTACACCGAAAACTTTTGGAAACTCACCTGTCTGACGTCAAAATTCATCTGGATCCAGTTCAATTTTACTATTTCATCGTGCGGTATGATGAAGTCATCGTTTTCATCGGCTGAAATGCTTGGATACTGATCAACGAGTACTTTCGAACAGAAAATCTCTTTTGTAACAGGTATATTGAAAAAATTTTCAGCCAAAATGGAAACCAATATTTCTTTTCGAGAAAACAGTTTTTGTGGTACCTTTCAATTGTTCGTCTGTTGTAATAGCAGGAAGTGTTTGATGTGATCGCCGGCGACGTGGCGGATCAGGACATGTCGGTACCTGTAGTTGAATTGTTTAAACGTATTTGTTATGATCGAAAAATTCATCCATTTATCACGTGAAGTATTAACTTGACCATGTTTAGTCATATTTCAAAACGAGCTGTCATAACAACTTTACTTTTACATTAATATTAGTATTACTGTACCCATTCACTCGGTATCAGCTACTATCACCCCACCTTAATTGAATAAGTGAATGTAATGGGAGAGGAAACATCATTTTAAAAAGTTCCTCGAAGAAAAAATGGTCATGATTAAAGGCGGCATCCAGCGTCACTGGTGAGTGCGCCATGAAGTCACAATCCTTTTGGATTTGCAAAGTTTTCCTTTTTTCAATTTCTATAAGACCTGTATAACGTCTTCTTAGTCCGAACCCGAGAAATTTCCCTGATCTGCTGACGTAATCATCTCAGAGAAAGTTTTTCTAGCCGGGTACTGTACATTTACAACCAGGAAATGGAATTTATCATTTGCCTCTGTCAGTTCCGATGGGTTCGCCGGCCAGCTGGTTACTGCTACATTACGTAGCAGTACATAAACTAATCAGTTATCGAAGCAGTGGGGGGCAAAAAGAAATTTCTTTTGAATTATTGCAACATCAGTACAAAGTGCAAGCACAAAACTCTCAAATGGAATTTGTCCGAATCATAGCAGTTAGCTTTGTAAAAATGAAAACACCCTGTATTACTTTGGTAGAGAAACTGGTACCATTACAGTTGGCAATCCCTTAGGCCAAACATAGCAACGTTTGAATTCCCTCCTTTCCCTGCTACAGTAGTCCCCAAGCAACGATTTCAGAGATCAAACCCATTCTTGATTGCATTTCAAGGGAAATTGAATTGTTTTAGTGTTAGGGAAGCACTAATGGGGATATTAAGTAAATGTTTACCAACACCAATAAGGTACGTCATCAGAGAAAAAGTAAAACAGTTATTGAAATAATGGGAGCTTTGGAAAAAACTTGTCGAGATTTTGCGATGTCAACTGAAAGGGAAGCGCAAAAGTGGACCAGATTGGACCGGGCTAATCGATACCCAAAAAAGCAAAGGCCTATTGAGCCAGTCAGCTCCGTTTACCCTCTTCAGAAAGGAAAACCATACGAATCTCCTGATTTCCCAAATATCTCACACACCAACTTTCGTCCAAAGATTACATTGGAGATTAGAATCGGGTGCGATGATCTCTTTGTTCTGAAGACACTGGGCAGGACACTTGGAATGTGCAAATGGAGAATATATAGGAAAGAAGGTAATCAGGTGGAAAAGACGATGATGAGCAATAGCTATTTGCAAAAGCTGCCCAAGTCAATAGGAATAGGCGCCAAATAGAAGAATGTGACGCCCAGCAAGTTCTCATGTCGTCTGTGCTCTCTTACAGTTGCTGTGTCAGTGTCCCAAAAGGCGCGAGCGCAGAGAATCAGAGTTGCGACTTAAAAACCTTTCAAAATCAAAGCAGACAAAAGTAGATGAGCCTAGTAAGGTTCTGCCTTCTATAAATCATTTTCAAAATAATAAACTCGCCTCACAAAACTCCGATCCGGGTTCCTTGATTCGTAGTGTAATTTGACAATCGAAATACATATTGTCTCTATCTGCATATTTATAGACGTGAGCCTCTCGACCTGCCATAAGATCCTCCGGATACTCCAAATTCGTCAGCAAGTATTTGTCCAATGCGCAACTGAAGCGAAGTGCTTTTAAGGCAATTAGAAACTCGGCATAACTCGGCTCAACGCATTCTGGGAGGGACTGACTCAAGAAAAACCTGGCTTTTTATTTCCGTGCTAATGCTTTACATCAAAGAAACAAATCTATCAGAAAAGTTCGATTGCAATTCATCGAAATGTTACCCTTTTTCGTTGATTAGTTGAACTCGTTCACCGTTGCCATCGTCAACAAAACACGAGTGCACGACCATACAGAATGTATCCGCCTGTTCAGCCTCACAAGTCCATTTATGATACACCTGAAATGTTACTTTCATGACAACACTGCAACAGTTTCAAACTCAAAATTCGCAATTGGTAGTGGAATTGATTTGCGGTGTTACTCCAAGTTACATTGTACCTGTACCGTTACTAGTTACATTGTTTGTTGTCGGGGACACGGTACCTGTACCGAGACAATGAAGAAGGGAAGTCAAAATCTTTTTGACCTTTTTATATTGTCATCTATCACATTAATGTGCTAAATGTGGCCCAACAAAAACTTGGGAGTCATGGCATCATTATGTATAAAAAGACCCTGTGATTGGTCACTGCCTGCAACAACCAACACAGACAGCCTATACGTGTGGATTGTGCTCGCCATAGGGCGCTGTTTTTTCATATACATCTCTACGTAAGTGCATAAAGATGCCTGACGATGCAAAATTTAAAAAGTGTTGTACCATTTGGCCGACAGTTGCATAGTACACCGGCTTTCCAACGGGCGAACCATCCAGAACCTCATATTTGCAGACAGGCATCGGCACCTGTTTTGTATGAAGTGTAGGTGGCGGCATACTGAAAATTTGATCTAATTTCGGAGTAAAAATGCAGAAATGAGTATTTTACTGACTTTACGAGAATTTCTTTCTCGAGACGCCGTTCCATTTCCATATAGAAACATTGTACTCGGTAAATTCGGTCGACTTTGGTAAGGTAGTCAAGATTGAAGGCGATTATTACGGATGTCGATAGGAACACACCTCGTGGAGATGTCTGCAACTAGTCAGGATTGAAGGTAAACATGAATCCCATAGGGCCCCATAATAAATATATTCTCAGAAGCACCACCTACTAGAGCATTTCCCAAATTATCTCAACTGTATAGGAGTTACGTGATACACTTTTTTATCCCCGATTTTTTTTTCTCAGATGTTGTCCCTCAGATTTGTTTCAGTATTACATTTGAATAATAATTATTACTGCATAGCATTTGGCATTGCTACAAAAATATTATACTTACTTCAATCTTGGTTGCTTTCGTTTTGAACTTCGTAGCTTTTGATTTTGGAACTTTGGCTCGACGTGAGATTGAACAAGTGATCTCAGTAACGGGTGATAGTCATTTGTTCGGGCAAAGTTGACTTGTTCAAACTCACGTCAGACTTGTCATAGCCATATTTTCGATCAGCTGTCCTGACAAACAACTGACCACCTTTCACGTATCATCAAAATAATTGCCTTTGGATATCGTACACTTAATGGAAGTTCCTACCAGTTTGTTTTCAAAGGGATGAAGGAGGAGCCGAACAACCCAGGTGAGAAGTATGAACTCGATTTACCTTCCGACTTCTCTTTAGGAACCATTCAATGTAAGTATTCCTCGACTGAGCCTAGTGCTATGTTGAATGAGAGATCGGAAATGTTCAACAGGAAATTTTGAGGGGCCCCGTTCAGCTGGACAAAACAGACAAGAGCAGTAGTCGCCTTCTAGAAGTGAAGTTTCGGTTCTTTCCCATTCAACTTTAATTTTGGATCTTTTAGGTTCTCAAAGCTCTTACGGATGAAGAATGGGTAAACCAGTCACAACAGGAGCGAAGATGTTAAAGCCTACTAGAATAACCCCTTGTGGACCGAATGTGGAAAGGTCTCCCGAGCACAGCCACATATCTAAACGCCCGAAATTTACCTGAAGTTCCGGTTATATTTATTTGCTTATTTACAAATATTGATGTATTGCCACTTTTCTCCCTAAAAATGTCGTCAAAATGTCTGTCATTCCTATACCTTGGATCTAACAGTTTATCTCCCACCATTAAGATCACCTGGAGTCTATCTCTGCAAGAAACAGCTGATGCGAACGGCGAGCCGTATTTCTTGATTTCTCCATTGTTTAGCTAATGAGTGGTTTCGTCAACATAACGGTGACGATGGCGATCGGTTTGTGTGTATGTGTGGTCCATCGGGCGTTGTTCTGTCGATGGACGCGTTCTTGATCCAACTGGCCCCTTTGATCAGCTATAAAAGAAATCAAAGGCCGGAATATCTTTGAGGACCATGCGATTCATAGTGGCTCCCAAGACCTGACTCATGCTTCGTCCATGGAGACTACCCAAGCAGCATCTTTCTACCATAACAAGTAGTTAATCAGTGAACTGGAAGTAATCCAAGCCATTTTCACACTTATTATTCAATCCTGAAACCTCCTTCGCACTCACGCAAACTCTGTACTGGAGTATGGAAGGCTCGATAACCGTTACTCTTAAATTCAATCAAAAATGAAAGATAATGACCGATAAAGTAATTTCCCGTTCATATAGAAGCCATCACAGCTGCTGTAACCTTTCGTCTTTGCATACTCACTTCCTCTACTCTGATACTTTCTATTTCCTATGCTCTCATCAAATAAATACGTAATGAAATTTTAATTTCTCAAGTAGCCTAAATAATAGTTGTAATGAAAATTTTTCAGGATGCGTTCCGGATTACTAGTTATTGGCTCACTCTGTATCGTTTCCACACTTGGACAGGATTGGGGTGGAATGGGCGGAGGTGGTGGATTTGGAGGTGATGGCGGTATGGGAGGCGGTGGATGGGGATACGGTAAGAATACAAGTGTTTTCTCGAACTATTCATTATGCTAAGCAACCTTGTGCTGCAAGAAATATATTGAATTAATTGCTCTTCTACGAGAAAGAAGTGGAAAGCTTTAGGGAGGAACATCTTTGAAATCATAAATGAATCCATGAAAAGAGACATTTTTGTTGAAATTTACTACCTTGTAATAGCTTCCTTTCACTCAAATATTCAGGCGGAAACGGAGGCGACTTTGGAGGTGGTTATGGAAATGGTGGCGACATGGGAGGCGGTTACGGTAAATTTAACTACTACTTTGCTAACTATTGATTACCATTTGTGATTCAGGAGGCTACGGAGGAGATGGAGGAGGAATGGATGGAGGATACGGCGGTGGATATGGCGGTGGCGGATATGGCGGCGGGGATATGGGCCGTGAGTGTAGTACTTTTATTATACAGACAAGCTTACAGTAAATTGAATTGTTTTAATGTTCGGGAAGCATTGATAGGAATATTTTGTAGATATTTACTATTAGCAATGTGATAGTTCAACACAAAAAGGTTACCAACTGTTAAAGTAACGAAAATCTCAAATAATTCCTGTTGGTTTTGCAATGTAATGCAAGGAATACTATAAACTGTGCAGGAACTAGTATAGGTAAGATGTATGGCTCTTCTCAGATGATCCAGTATTCTTTTTACTTTGGCAAAGACAATTATCTCGAAGTTGGAAGTTTGCCAATGCTCCATGAAATCTCTGTCAAGATTTGAATTCCCTTCCTCCCCTGCTACAGTAGTTCCCGAGCAACGATTGCGAAGATCAAATCCGTTCTGGATGAAATTGAATTGTTTTAGTGTTGCGACAGCACTATTGGGAATACTGTTCAATTATTTGTAAGTAGCAGCAGTGTACGTACCCATAAAAAAAGGTAAACAAGTATCAGAGCTATGTTGAGCCTTAAAAAAATCGTCCTGCTGAGCAAGGGCAAGCTCAACGATGGACCAGTTTGGAGTAAGCTAATCGATATCCCAAAAAAGAAGGCGTATACAGCCTGCCATCTGCGATGGCCTTTTTCAAGAAAGAAGGAATTTTCATTAACTTCAGACACTTTTTGATACCGTGATCATCTTGCAAGAGCAACTTTGGTCTGAAGATTGGTTCAGCAAAAATATGCAACAATCGTCCATAGTTTTTCCTTCATTTCTATTATGCGTTTGAAAAATAACTTAGTATTAAGTCTGAGTATTAAGTCTGTGATATATTCTGCATTGAATTCTAACTTCATTATAGAGAATTAGTCACGATAAAGGGTAAAGGACAATATTGTCAGCTCAAATCAACACCGTTTTGGGAGAGTGCCCCACGCAGTGGACTTCGAAACGGTTGCAGCCCTCGGGCGTCCGAGCCTTTCCATGTGTCCCTCAAGCTTCCCCCTCTGGGTGTAACCATTTTACCAATCCGAAAATGGTGGTACAAGTAACTTGGAGCATAAAATGCCAAGTAAATCCATGTGAAAGAGATCGAGTTCCCATTTCACATTTGTCATTCCCCATTGAAATCTTCTAAAAATCCTGAAGCAAATAGGCATAAATCTTGAACATTACTTACTGCTTAGGCCGATATGCGAGTTGGTGCTTTTGCCTTTTGTAAATCGTGCAATAGCGTTTGAAAGAAATACATCTACAACTGTACTACCTCCAAAATACGAATAATAGTCTGAAGACAAGAAACCCAGCAAGCTAATCAATTGGTTTTTCAGAATCTTTGTTAAACTTTCGATTCCAGCAAATTCCATGTAAAGCTGGTCATGATGGCTTTTGTTTTAGCCTTCCAAAATTTCAGCTTATGGAGGTGGTGGCTATGGAGACGGAGGCATGGGCGGTGGATTCGGCGGATACGGAGGCATGGGTGGAATGGGTGGAATGGGAGGAATGGGCGGATTCGGTGGAGGATATGGCGGAAATCAAGGTAATGTCTAAATTCCTACCAGTTAGTAAACACTCGAGTATTGAAAAACTATATTTCCTTGTAAAAATACAACGATTAGCCACATTTCTATGTCAAGTCGGCTCCGAAATCTCAGGTGGTTCCTTTGGACTGAGTAATCTCACTGTCCAAAGCTACGATTCCCACGACTTGAACCTTGTCGCTTGTCAAAATTTCGGGTCATATGTCAATCAACTTATGAGCGTTTCCAGGTGGTGGACAACCAGATCAGTTCGGTGGTGTCGGCGGTTTCGGAGGACAGCCGTATATGGGAGGAATGAACGGTATGGGATACCCTCAGTAAAACGGAGGAGGAAGCTTATCTGTACATAAGTGAAAAGACGTTAATAATATTTGTAGATGGATTTAAATAAATATTAGCCTTCAACTGGTAACAGATCGCATGAAAAACAATTTGAGTGTTTCTTGGGCTTGTACCAACAGAGGCTACAAGGTATTTTTGTACGGTTCACTATCACCACTGTAGTAACTACTGGTAAGTGGCATTCAGTAAAACTGCGAATGTTTAACAAATAACAAGAATTCCCATGAAGCTCACCGAAATACGCCGTTCCACTCCGCATTCCTTGAATGCTAAACGTAGACTAGCGTTTTGATGACCACTTGGACTCGCTGGAGGGCTACGACAATGAGGATCATCGAGGCGATCCTGTACGAACACTAGCCCACGAAATGGATATCGTGTCTCGAACCGGACCTAAACGGCTCGTTCTTTCGTAATCGCATGATTAGAACGGATATTGACTTTCCTTCTCCTAGGCGCAGATTAGAACGAATACTGATTTTTTTCACCTAGTCCTAGAACGTGTACAGCTCAAATGTGCAGTTTCTAGTTAACAACGAAGTTTCCTTTTTTGACGAATTTGACGATTAAGGTCCAATATCATAGCCAGAACACGAGATCTACTCTATTACTTGTACTGCTAACATCAATATTTTTTACCAAAGCCTTCCTACACCTACGAAGTCGCCTTCTTCTTATAACTTAGTTAGCAGTAGACATGTCTCAGAGAATGGCTTGCTTCTTAAGCTAGGCCAAACCAAGAATTTTGAAGGACCAAATCGCACCTCGAAATAGCTGTCAGCACAGTCGACAAGCGGATCACCGACGATTCCGTTGTCCTGTTGAGCAGCAGAGAGAAGCTGAACAACAGCTAATTTATCAGTATAGGCCAGTTAAATTCATTATTGTTTGAAAATACTAGAATTACTGTAGTAATAAGGGAGGAAATGTTAAAATTACAACTTTCTAACAGGCTTACCACTTGACTCAGACAGAGCGCTATCCAGTACAGAGGAGAACGCATCTCCTCACGTGCTGAACCCTGAATGAGGCAAAAGCGAGTCGCATTCATTAAGAAAAAAGTTTAAAAATGCAAACGAGAAGGATAAAAAACCTCAAGAAAGTTAAAAGTGAGCTGATGTAGATGAGAATTTTCATTCATAATGAAATAAAACTGTTGAAACTGGAGTAAAGCTGAGTAAAACTCTAAATGAACACAAGGTAAAAACGGTGATGAATGGGAACAAGGAAAGGACAAAAGGGAACTGGTAGCCTAGCTGTAGAACTAATTACCACCTCACTACTTGTAGACTTACTGAATTTGCCCTCCTGGCCTGCGACGTCCTGCCGGTACAACAATGGAGAAGGCTGCAATCGCAGAAGACTGAGTACTGACTAGTAGACTATCCAGACTAGACTAAGAGAATTCCGGCAAATACAAACAATAGGTATTGATTGAGAGCGTGAATTGCCCCGTTATGTTGAGATTGTTCTAGATCATTGTAGACCGTTATAAATTCACGAGAGCGCCCTCTGATGAAGATAAAAGTAAGGTGAAATGAACTCAGGGGCAGCATTGATTATTTTATTACTAGTACTATTACTCAGAAGAACAATTAGTAAAGGCATTAGATCAGAACCGAAAGAAGAAGTCAAAGTCTGGTTAAAACGTGATGGTCCAAGAGAAAATGCAGTGAATGGATCAAAATTTCCAAAGAATATAAGTATACAAAGTTACATCATAGAAATCGATAAAGGAATGAGCGAAAACACTAAAGTCAGCTATTAAGCTGGCTATAAGGATAATTGCAGGAGTTAGTGCCTCCGCCCCTCTTCACCAAACAGCCGCCACTGGGAACTGGACCGATCAGACGCCTTGACCTCTTCGTTCTAAGGTGACTGCCCACTAAGATTACTAAGATTTGGCCAGTAAATCGAGTTTTTCAGAATATTTACAGTAATATATGTCAGCCGCCTTCCCAGGGAAACAGAGCTAAGGTTCAAATTTGACGAGTTATCAAAATGACTGGTGGAATAGCGTTACGATGGAATGTCGTTAGGATGGGCCCTGCACTCATTTCACATGCCCAATTCCCGAAACATTGAAAGCCTCTGATCATTATTTCCTCCTCTCCCGACAAGCTATCGAAACCCCACTGAAAAATAGAAGTTGTAATCAAATTGGTGACTCCGTCGTAAGGGACAGTACTCCAAGGAAACCCTCTGGTGAACAATCGAAGACAACAATGTGGCCTTCTGCTACAGGTTTACGTTACAGCATAGTAAGCTTGCAAAAAAAATTATATGAAGTGAGAATTTTACTTTTAAAGATAAAATCAGCCTTGATTCATCGATGTGCGCCATGAAAATCGAAGTCTACGGGGTTGTATACGAAATGAAGATAGTAATCTATGTATGTTATAGTGTTCGCACAGGGTACTGAGATCCTATTAAGATCGAACTAAATGAGAAACCAGTGTCTGAGAAGTTTCACTTGATTGAGCAATTTCTTCCTAAAGTATCGACTGGTATTGTCAAAAATAAAAAGTTTAAAAAACAGCTGAGTATTATTGGCATTGACAAGAATATCACCAGACTACTTCCAGTGGATTCAAAACCAAGTAAACAGCGATCGACTTTGTTGGTAAACACATTGTGTGCTCGATTGCCATTCAGAGAAGAAACAGAAATCGAACTAATTTGGTGATTGAACAGTACTCGGGCGAAATAAGGAATCGGAATCGTGTGAAGTTTGACTTTTACTGCTCACAGGATGGAGCGCCTTACCGAATTGGGAGGGAATTTTCATCGTTATGACGTGGGCCATTTGGTACCAGACGTATGTCTGGTGACAAAAACGTATGTTTGGGCTACAGTTAATCCAGTTCACTATCAAAACCAAACGGGCATTCGAGTTTTCATCGGTTCTGAGAAGTTACAGGTGTGGCGCACCCGTACACAATTGCCCAATCCAACTGCCGATTTATCCGTCACATGGGCCTATCTCATATACCTACAGTACTACTGCAGTTTCTCAAACCTTCTACAAGGTTCCTATGTGTTAAGAAGGAAATTTCTTGAATATTCGGATCCTGAATCAAACAAGAACCAAATGAAAATAAACGTAAACGAAACAAATACGTCTACGGGTAAGGTCAATGGCGCATTCTCCAAAAGCGAAACAGTGAATCGCCGTTTAGAGGCTGGCTGTGAAAAGTAAAAGTCTCGGATGGCTTTGTGAGGGGATGAATGGAATGTTGTTCGCTATAGATACGAATATAGATAGTAGGAGACGATCTCGAATTTCAACATTGAACTAGTCGCCAGCCTTTGCAAGACGTCGGCAATCGGCGTGAAATCATGTCTAATTCAAGTGTGACAAGTTAGGGGATCCTTGTCGGGCCGAAAAGTCGAAGACCGATCGGCTTAGCACGTCAAACTCTGAATGGACCGTCATAAAAATGGGTCTAGCCGAGTTGGAGTTTCCTCGGGGACAAATACTTCATGGGCTACAATGGGAATATGTTGAAGTTCAATTTTCATTGAAGGTCAAGCAAGGAACTACGTCATCCCATTGTGAACAGTTCAGCAACTGCCGTAGCCCCACGTCCCTATTATCAAGAAATTTTACTGTGACACTTGTAGTTCTTCTTTCTTTTTTCGGTATTTCAGGGGTTCCAATGACCATTTGTGAGTGCCTGGAGAATCTAGTCGTAGTTTACGTAAAAACGATTTATTCTTCACAAATACCAGTATAACAAAAGTTGAAAATTCAAAAAAGAGCTTCTAAAAGAATCAGTGACTGTAGAGATTAAAGAGAACAAAGAAATAGTGGTAATATCACGAATTACCAAACAGCAGCAACATACCCACCATACCTGCAAGCCACCTACCATTGGTTATCGTGGATAACCCACCAATCAACAAATTTCTACCTCACCTTTTTTCCGCCCTTGACGCGCGTAGGTCCCCCACTACCATTTTAAATGGGAAGCACCTTGACACCTTCAACGAAGAAAGGAGAGGTCCGATCCAATATCAACGAAAAACATAACAAACACTTCGGAACTTCTGTCAAAGGATAAAAGGTAAAAGGTACAAACAAGTAATGAGATCGCTACTTCCAATGAGATACCAAGAGGAAAAGTTACATAAACTGGTAAGATGAAGTTCAACGGGTTTTGTGGTAGTACGCAAGATGTCAAACCATTGAAGGGTTGAACTAAGTGAACAAACGACGCTTGGCTCTTGCAGAAGCTCTGGTGTTGGGTGCTCGTGTTTTCTTCACCAGATACCCACGTTCATTTATGACATACTTAATACCGTCCAAACCCAGGTCTGGAGACTGGAGCCCATTTTTGTCACCTGAAAATACTTGTAAAAGAATAATCAAAACATGTCCTATAATAAATACAAATGAAAGTAATCCTAAAGAAATAACTGTAGATGAAGCCCCATCATTGTACCGTAGTTTCTAAGATTAGTTTTTTTGGGCATGCCGCGCTCGCTCCTCACGCGATGAAGGGGGGAATTCCAATTTCCGTAGAAATCACGGTAATAGCCGCGAAACCACTGATGCTCAAAGCGGGATTTCGGGTATAGGAATTAGGAATCAATACATTTCTGCTTAAGGTGGAATTGTTTTTCACTCTCGCAATGGTTCAATCTGGTGGAATACTTCTTATAATTCGTACTTCGACGCTCTGTTGGATGTTTAGGTTTCACCATGTAATAATGCCATGTAATAAAATTAACAAAAACTTTCGAAAAAATGCACTGTCCATTACCGGGTGTATGTACATTCGTGC